TTACCTCTGATAGTCCATCAACTTGTCAATCCGCTTAAATAGGATGACAGGTCCACTAAAACTATCACGTTAATGATCACCTCTGATAGTCTGCTTTCTCCAAATTCCCCCACCAATCCTCTTCAAATAGGATGGCGGGTCTATCAAAACTATCACGTTAATGATTACCTCTGATAGTCCATTCCCTCCAAATTCTCTTGCAATAGGATGACAGGTCCACTAAAACTATCACGTTAATGATCACCTCTGATAGTCTGCTTTCTCCAAATTCCCCCACCAATCCTCTTCAAATAGGATGGCGGGTCTATCAAAACTATCACGTTAATGATTACCTCTGATAGTCCATTCCCTCCAAATTCTCTTGTTAATCCTCTTTAAGTAGGATGGCGGGTCCACAAAAACTATCACGTTAACAGTTACCTCTGATAGTCAAACTCATCAGATAATGGCCTACCAGGTGATGTGCCTCTATTTCGACTTCATGGATAGTGCCTCACTAGGCAATGTGCCTTGTCTACCTCTTTTTCTTCCCCTGCTAAGTCTTAATCAAGACTGGGGGTTGGTTACTTGGAATCCATTGGATTAAGAGTAACGAATCTTTCACATCGTCGAGTTAACATTACACTTCTGACGATTATCATCCCCACAGAGTATGCATTCAACTTGCATCACTCTCAATTTGTCACATTAACAATATACCTCTGACAACAATCAACTTATCAATCCTCGTCAATAGGATGATAAGTCCCCAAAATTGCTCAAATCGTGATCTTCCCCAGCAAGACACTAAGTCTTCAAAATCAAATTCAAATCACAGGTATCAAAACTCATTGTTCCTGATGATAAACTCATTTAGCAAGTTTCCCCAGCGAGACGCTAATTCCTAAAATCTTGTGCAAGTTACAAGAATATATTCCTGTCAAGTTAACATCAAACCTCTGACAAAATCCACTTATCAATCCTCGTCAATAGGATGATAAGTCCACAAAGTTGCTCCAATCGCAACACATCCCTGTCATGTTAACATCATACCTCTGACAACCCACTTATCAATCCTCGTCAATAGGATGATAAGTCCACAAAGTTGCTCCGATCGCAACACATCTCCTGTCACGTTTAACACTAAACCTCTGACAAATTCACTTATAAATCCTCATGATAAGTCCACAAAGTTGTTCCAATCGCAACACATCCTGTCACGTTAACACTAAACCTCTGACAAATTCACTTATCAATCCTCGTCAATAGGATGATAAGTCCACAAAGTTGCTCCAATCGCAACACACATCCTGTCACGTTAACACTAAACCTCTGACAAAAATCCACTTATCGACTCTCCTCAATAAAGCGATAGGTCCATAAAATGCTATTAGGTCAACCTCACACCCCTAACAGTCAAACCCTCCCCAATAAACTTGTTAATCATTTTTCAACAAGAATAGCAAGTTTTCATTATGAAATCCCCAGCGGATTAAAGATTTTCTAGAATTATCCTAGTGATAATAAAGAAAATTTTTGAATTTCACTTTAAGTGAAAATTCATGCCAAAGTTAATACTATACTTCTGGCACTTCCAACTTTCTTTCGGTGTTTCAAGCCACACAGGAAGAAACGATACCAAAAATCCATGCCTTCACGCATGTGGGACTTTATCTCGATCCCTAATTAGAGATAAGTCTACGCCTAACACGTGTTGCCGGTTAATCTTTCGCCGTGAAAAAGATACCAGAATTCATGCCTGGGGAGTCTATCTCGATCCCTAATTAGAGATAAGTCTGCATCTAACACATGCTGCCGGGTAGCATATTCCCGTAATAATAGCAAAGCCTACGTATTCAATATCGTAGCAGGTCGTTATTAATAACGCCAAAATCCATGCCTTACACGCATGGGGAATTTTATCCTGAATCCTAAGTAGGGATAAGTCAATGTCTAACACACGTTGTCGGTGAGTCTTTGACCGTAAAAAAGGACAAAAGTCTACGTATTTAACATCGTAGCAGGTCGTTATTAATAACACCAAAATCCATGCCTCACACGCATGGGGGACTTTATCTCGATCCCTGATTAGAGATAAGTCTGCATCTAACACATGCTGCCGGGTAGCGCATTCCCGCAATAATGGCAAAGCCCACGTATTCAACATCGTGGCAGGTTGTTATTAATAACGCCAAAATCCATGCTTTACACGCATGGGGGACTTTATCCCTAATTAGAGATAAGCCTACGCCTAACACGCGTTGCCGGTTAGTTTTTTTTTCGTGAAAATGACAAAGTCTATGTATTCAAAATCATAGCATTAAGTCTAAGAGGATTCATTCTCTTAGCACAACGTTACATGTGGAACGGACTTAGACAATCCACATGCTAGCCCGACTTAAACGGTAGTCGGTAAAGGCTTATCAAATCCGTTGATGGCTGAGGGTTTGCTAAAAATCCTATGTTTGAAGGCCCATCAACTTAATGGACGTGAGCCGAGACTCGAAACTGATAAGCTAAAGACAAGTCTCAAAGATTTAGTCAAAAATACACGGAAGCCACTTCCATGCCTCAAGTTAAACGCCGAGGTCAGACCCGCGCTACAAAAATCACGACGCCGAGGTCACACCAGGGTTCCAAATTCAAAACGTTGAGGTCAGACCCGCGTTACAAAAATCACGACGCTGAGGTCACACCCGGGTTTCAAATTCAAAACGCTAAAGTCAGCCCCGCGTCTCAAGTCCAAAATGCAGGGTCCACCCCCGCATTCCAGAAGCAGGATTATGACGCATACCTTCATACAGGTCCTACATGGCAAATCCCTTCAACCAAGATGCCTTCAAAGCAAGTGCAGAGAACGACTCCTTTACGACAAGGAATCAACAGCTCTAAGATCAGAGTTAAGATCCAAAGTATTCCGAAAATTCGTCCCAGTCAACCGCGAACTTTCGAAAACTTTGGAGGGGGTTCTGTAGGCTGTCTAAAAATCACAATAGATAGCTTATCCCCCATCAACCACCGATGATGGAAGTTACAATCTGACGACTTCCAGAAGGCTACAATTCGAAGATTTTCACATGTCAAAGAGTTAAAGCAAAGATTACAAAACGACAGTCTTTAGCAATACTCTGACAGAAAGGAGTCGAACCCGCGTTACAATATCAAAACGCCAGGGTCGAACCCCGCGTTACAACATCAAAACGTCAGGGTCGAACCCGCGTTACAACATTAAAACGCCAGGGTCGAACCCGCGTTACAACATCAAAACGCTGGGTCGAACCCGCGTTACTACAAGCTAAACGTGAGCGACCCTCGCGTTCGTAGGGGTCCAGCCAACACCGACCCCCGCGTTTCTAAGCTACAACAAACCAAAACGCGAGCGACCCTCGCGTTCATCAATGTTCAGCCAACACCCAACTTCGCGTCTCAATTCTAAGAGGCGAAGTTGGGTTCTGAACGCCAGGTTGGGCGTTTTGACTTGTTCAAACACAAGCCGAACGGCCTCAAAACCGTTATCCCACGTTCTGAGGGATTTACGCCCACTTAGGAGCGGATTTAGAGGGCAGTTACAACCTCTAATCCCCTTATAAAAACTCAACAAACTCAATTGAGTTAAGGTTCGGTTCGATTTTTCTTAGCTTGAATCGACCATTGAAGGCTGGATTTTTTGGATCTGAGAATTGGCAGCAAGAGGGAGATCGACGTTCATCCTCAGCTAAGATCGACCACCAGAGCTTTCTTCTAGCCTTGGCTTATTAACCGATCTTCGGTTCAAATCAACTCTTTTACAAGAGTTCAAACTCGATCAGAGTTATCAACTCATTAAGAGTTTTAAACTTGCCACACAAGTTCTCCACAACGTCAAATCGTGAGGAGAAGATATCGTTCCAGTGAAGCAAAACATCGGATCGTCAACGGAGAGCAATTTCGACGCGAGCAATCGAAGGAGGCATTCCATCGCCACCGTGAAGAACCCAGTTTTAAACAAAGGAGAGAACCAAATTCGTTTCTCTTCTCTTTTGTAATCAAGTTTAGTCATTCTTTCTTTTCTTTTTTTTTTCTTTTTGGTGTGGAGAACCAAAAGGTTTAGGTGTAAAAAGTTAGGGGAAATCTGTTGTTAACCTCCATAGCATAGAGGTTGTGCCTGTAATTACCCTATTACAAAACCAAGATATACAACACTTAGGTATATATATCACTAATTTGTTCTAAGGAATGAGATTTATAATTTTACATTCTAAAGATATACTTGTATTTATTATGATCTTTCATTATTTTGTAGATTTTCACCAAGTCCCGTATGGGCTTCTTTCTGTTGAATTGATCATCCATTGAAAATATTCTCCTTATCTACTTTTCTCAATTTCAAAATGGCTGCAAGGCCTTCACTAACATCTCCATTTTGTAAATTGGGATATACTAGGTAAAAGGAGGAGAGGAGTTACGGCTTGACCATTACCACTGAATAAAACTAGACAACCATATACAAGTTTGGATTTTGTTTTCATCCTTCCATCCTCATGTACTCCGGTCTCTTCAGATATTGAAAGATATTGTACCAATAAAACTTAGGCTCTCTTATTTTCTCTAAAAAATAAAAACAAAAACAAAAACTAAGAAATCCCTGACGAAATCAGTGGAAGCATCTTCCTCTAAAATTGTACCTATTGAACATTCTGCACCCAGCTATACCCTAAATTCTTCTTCTTCCTCGTCTACTTCCATATCTTTAAAGCATCATTGCAACTTTCAGCATCCATGAACACATTTGACAACGTCGCACGACTCTCCCTGAACTCTCAGGTTCAAGCTCAGCCCACTCGAGAGCTGCAATCTCTGCAAGCTGAACATTTCCATGTTTCCTGCAAGCATCAAACAATGCTCCCCATAGAGACAAATTGGGCTTAACGGGCATGACCCGTATAAACTCATAAGCCTCATCGGGCCTCCCTGCTCGAGCTAGAAGATCCACAATTAATGCAAACATAATGATCCAACATTGGCTCAATTCTATACTCATCCTTCACCGATCTCAAGGAACTCGTAGGAGAAAACAATGAATTCGCGAATACTTCGTGAATGTTGAGGTTTATAATTTTATGACCTTTTAAAAAGAGTGCATAGCTCATAAGTGCCATTACTAAGTAAGATTTTGGAATATATATTACACGCGCACATAATAGATCTCCTTCTCTCTCTCAATGCATAAGATCTTTCTCCAAATCATTCAAGTATAAGGCCAATTCCTCCCATGAATTTGGCTCGTCGTTGGCATTGAGCAAGCAATCCTCCAAACGATTGATCACCTCCTTGTATCCTGGCTCCACCTCTTGCATTCTAGGTTTAAATTCATCAACAGTGCCCAAAGAACATGATCTAGGAACCATCTTCACCATGAGTGACTCAATCTCCTCTTGAAGACAAGCAACCTACAAAATACACAACTAAGTCCACATTTTACATCCAAGTTTATTATTGAGCAATAGTTGGCTACTGTATTATGTAGGGATTTCTCCATGAAATCAATGGAAAAGATCGCGATATATCGCTGGAATAACCAAATGTCTTTATCAACCAGGATACTTACACCTTCATCATAATCTTATTAAAACTATATGAAGTTATAAAGAATCAAAGACAAGATCACAACATATCACTCCACTCTTTAATATCCACACCTTCACGGTTCAAGATTCTCAGCATATTCAGGTCATAAATGACCGACTGATGTGCCTCACATCAGGAACAAGTCAGCCAAGAAAATAGGATGTCACAATAAAACCTCGATTTGCTAGCTCATAGTTCTGGCAGATACTCCCTTCATATATATATATACCTTCAATCGCATTTATCGTCCCCTACTTCGTAAATGAATACTGATCGAACATAAAAATGAAGGAGATTATCTGCAATTTGTCCAATTATTTTTGTACAAAGAAATAAGTACCTGATACTGTAACGCTAGAATGTGAGATAGGCAACCTCTAACTGGATCTTGAATCCGAGCCTGAGCTTCAAAAGAAATGGTAATGGCAGCTGCACTGCGATTGTAAATAGGCAACTTGGAGAGAAGCTTGGAGACATTGCTGGCACCAAAAATCTTGTGCACTGCAGAGAAATTAGCTTCAGCTTGGTCATAATTGAAGTAAGGTGCAAATATGCAATTTTCTTCACATTTCCTTCTCAAGAATTTGCATGCTCCGCATGAGGATCCAACGCCCACCATTGCTAGCTAGCTCTAGAGAATTAATGCGAGTACTTGAACCCACTTGATTGGCAATTTATAATGAAACGAAGGCTCTTTCGTCTTGTTTTGCTTTAGATTAAAGTTGAGCTGGGTCTCCTTTGTGGGCTACATCGTTATGCTAAGAAACTTGCATTCTTTTGGATTTATGCGTGCTTCTCCTTGGGATTGCATACAAACATGACTCCACCAATAATTGGCTTCGCAGTGGATGTATAGCTTGATCCATGTTGTGTTGCGCGCGGAAGCCACCAATCGTTCGGCGTTTGGTTTGGTTCCTCGAATCTTGCCGAACCACGTTAAAAATTGGTTGTTTGTGTTTGTGACATTATTTAATTTGGTTTGTTTGGTCTTCTCTCGGCGTTTGTTTTGATTCCTCGAAGCATAACGATTGGTGGTTTCCGCGCACAACATACTGTTCTTCCTTTATGGCGTTGGAGAGAATTTCTTATTACCCCCTGAAAAAAGGAAAAAAAAAAGAAAAGAAAAGAAAAAGAAAAGACGAGAGGATGGTGATAATAATAATAATTGGGATGCTTTGAAGTAAATTCCTGAACCTGGCTCAGTTACAGGTAAGAGGTTAAGTTGAGAAGAGTTGAAAGTTTAACGAGAGTTATGTGTATATTCCGAACTCAGGGTGCTCAGTGGAATTAGCAAAGTTCAGTCCATATATTTATTATTAATTATTATTATTTTTACCTTTTTAGGGAAAATTGCTTGGGGGAACCAAATTAAATTGGCTCATTCATCCCCACCCTCAGTCCAAGAACCATAACCCAAAAACCCTTAAACCGAAAAAGGAGTGCAAGTAACCCCCAAATACTGTGTAAACCCACTGCCCAATAAATCCATTCCCAAATTACCCTTCCTCATTTAATACTCACACGATCCCATTTCTCCTTGAGCTGACCCCAAGATCTCCCCCACCCCCCCACCCCCCCATTTACATAGCGAAACCCTAAATTGGGCGAAAATTCTTCTATTACTCTCTCCAAATCTGTGGATTTTTCTGGATTAATTCTGCTTAAATTCATGCTTTATGATTGATACGTTATCAATTTAGCAAAACCTCGGCTCGCTTACGTGTAAAATTTCAATTTGAGATAAAGTCGGGAGAATTTAATTTTAATTTTAAGTTGATTATTCTTCCCGCTTTGATATTTTGGATGCTTTTGTGGATTTTTTTCCCATTCTGCTTCAAATTTCAATGCTGGTTATGTAATGTTAATGACTATGTTGCTTGTCCTCAGCTTGTAAATCTCTTGATTTGGTTGATTATATCTGTTTATTTCTATTTGGTAATTATCAATTTGGTACAGTTTGGTATTTTTTTTATTTCTCTGGCGATTTATTTGCTGTTAAAAGTCCACCAAATGTGCAATTTAGGCATTTTCCCTTGCCGCTGGCTGGCGATAGAATTGGCGTGTAAAATGCACATGATGTCACTTTATTTAAATTGAGTTATATTAGAACGTCGATGTGCCTGTGTTTAAGTGAAGTCACTTGGATTTTACCCGCCAAAATTTATTACCGGCTATGAGAAAAAAAAATTAGTTGTGAGCAATGTTTTAAGTAAGGTTCCTCTTTTTTGTTGTGTTTGTTGGTTGAATGATCTCTCTTGAATATGTGATGTTTGGGAAAATGCCTATGAGATAGAGTGATGTGTTTTTTAGTTGGGAACAATTTTTATGAATGCAAGGTGTTTGAGAAAATGTGTACGATATGGAACACCAATATGCATGTAATAGAGGAATGGTATGCTGGCAATGGAAGTAGTTGCTAAATGTTAGTGATTTCTGTTGTGGTTTCTGAAGAATGGTTTAGTGTTTGTAATTTCCTGATGTATTTTTGTTTGATGGGTTGAAATCCTTTGTAAGGATGATTTTGATCCAATTAGAGTTTAATTTGGGAGTGTTGTTATGTTTCTTAGTTATTCAATGTTAAATGGGAAAATGAGGGAACATATATGTATCACAATTAACCGTAAATATGACAAATAAGCATATCATGTGATATTTCAATATTATATGTGACAATTCAATCTTACATGTGACAGTTCTACCTTATATGTGATATTCAGATCTGATTTGTGATATTTGGGTGTTGTATGTGATATTTGAGTGTTGCTTGTGACATTTGTGGTTTATACGTGACATTTGTGTGTTGTATGTGATATTTGAGTGTTGATTGTGACATTTGTTGTTTATACGTAATATTGGTTGTTTATACGTAATATTTGGGTGTTTTATGTGATATTTGTTGTTTATACGTGATATTTGAGTGTTGTATGTGATATTTGGGTGTTTTATGTGATATTTGTGTGTTGCTTGTGATATTTATTATTTATGTGTGATATTTGAGTGTTGTTTGTGATATTTGGCTGTAATTTGTGATATTTGGGTGTTGCTTGTGACATTTGCTGTTTATACGTGATATTTGGATGTTGTATGTGATATTTGGCTGTAATTTGTTGATAGTGAATTTGATATTAGATCTAATAGAGTCATTCCACATCCTCCGCCAAAATATCTTTTGTACTTTGGGGGTAATAATGTACCATTGATTGAGTGGAAGTATTAGACAAACACATGTAACTATAATGTGGTGATTTGAAATTGAAACCCAGTGTTGATTCTTCTTCTTCTATTTCTGCTATTGGGAAGAGGGGAATGTCTAAAAGTGGATTGTCCTGCAAATATTTTGGAGGTGTTTGAATAATTAGATTTGATTTGGTTTATCTTTGGCATGTTATTGATTCCTGGAGGCGAGTCACTTGCTATTGTCGTTTGGGATCCTCTCTGATTCCTCGATTGGGATCGTCTCATAAGGTTCATCGATATGATCCGATGACCATGAGTTTACATTAGAAAGACTGTGAGCTCACAGTCATCGGATGACTGTGAAATTTTATGAGAATTTTCTGATTTATAATACCAAGATGTAAAAAAATTTTGGTCACTTTCATTTTTGGTAACTTTCATTTGTAGTCTTTCTAATGTAAGCAACACCCAAATATCACATACAACATCAAAATGTCACGTATAAATAACAAATGTCACAAGCAACACCCAAATATCACATACAACACCCAAATATCACATACAACACCCAAATGTCACGTATAAACAACAAATGTCACAAACAACACCCAAATATCACATACAACACCCAAATATCATGTATAAACAACAAATGTCACAAGCAATACACAAATATCATATACAACACCCAAATATCACATACAACACCTAAATATCACAAATCAGATCTAAATACCATATATAAGGTAGAATTGTGATATTTGGGTGTTGTTTGTGACATTTGCTGTTTATACATGATATTTAGGTGTTGTATGTGATACTTGGCTGTAATTTGTTGATAGTGAATGTGCTTATTTGTCACATGGCTGTAATTTGTTTATACGTGACACATGACTGTAATTTGTTATATGTGATATTTAGATCTAATAGAGTCATTCCACATCCTCCTTCATCATCATCCCCTTATTCTTCTTTATTCCACATCCTCCTTCATCATCATCCCCTTATTCTTCTTTACCCACCAAGACCCAGGAATCAATAACTCGTCCAAATTATTCAAACACCTCCAAAATATTTGCAGGACAATCCACTTTTAGACATTCCCCTCTTCCCAATAGCAGAAATAGAAGAAGAAGAATGAACACTGGGTTTCAGTTTCAAATCACCACATTATAGTTACATGTGTTTGTCTAATACTTCCACTCAATCAATGGTACATTATTACCCCCAAAGTACAAAAGGTATTTTGGCGGAGGATGTGGAATGACTCTATTAGATCTAATATCAAATTCACTATCAACAAATTACAGCCAAATATCATAGACAACATCTAAATATCACGTATAAACAGCAAATGTCACAAGCAACACCCAAATATCACAAATTACAGCCAAATATCACATACAACACCCAAATATCAGGCATAAATAACAAATATCACAAGCAACACACAAATATCACATACAACACCCAAATACCACATACAACACTCAAATATCATGTATAAATAACAAATATCACATACAACACCCAAATATCACATACAACACTCAAATATCATGTATAAATAACAAATATCACATACAACACCCAAATATCACATACAACACCCAAATATTACGTATAAACAAATAAATAACAAATATCACATACAACACCCAAATATCACATACAACACCCAAATATTACGTATAAACAACAAATGTCACAATCAACAATCAAATATCACATACAACACACAAATGTCATGTATAAACCACAAATATCACAAGCAACACTCAAATATCACATACAACACCCAAATATCACATACAACACCCAAATATCACAAATCAGAACTGTATATCACATATAAGGTAGAACTGTCACATGTAAGATTGAATTGTCACATATAACATTGAAATATCACATGATATGCTTATTTGTCATATTTACGGTTAATTGTGATACATATATGTTCCCTCATTTTCCCATTTAACATTGAATAACTAAGAAACATAACAACACTCCCAAATTAAACTCTAATTAGATCAAAATCATCCTTACGAAGGATTTCAACCCATCAAACAAAAATACATCAGGAAATTACAAACACTAAACCATTCTTCAGAAACCACAACAGAAATCACTAACATTTAGCAACTACTTCCATTGCCAGCATACCATTCCTCTATTACATGCATATTGGTGTTCCATATCGTACACATTTTCTCAAACACCTTGCATTCATAAAAATTGTTCCCAACTAAAAAACACATCACTCTATCTCATAGGTATTTTCCCAAACATCACATATTCAAGAGAGATCATTCAACCAACAAACACAACAAAAAAGAGGAACCTTACTTAAAACATTGCTCACAACTAAATTTTTTTTTCTCACAGCCGATAATAAATTTTGGCGGGTAAAATCCAAGTGACTTCACTTAAACACAGGCACATCGACGTTCTAATATAATAATAAATTTTGGCGGGTAAAATCCAAGTGACTTCACTTAAACACAGGCACATCGACGTTCTAATATAAC